AGTAAAAATTTTTGCATTAACTTTACAATTAGAGCAACTCTTTCAGAAAAAAATCTAAAAAATCTGAAAAAAATATAGGTTAAACTACAACTGATAAACTTTACTTTATATTAAAATTTATAATTTTAATAAGAAATAATTTTTATTTTTATATTAAAGAGAAAATTTTAATTTTTACTATGTTTTATGTTTTATTAGTAAATTTAGCCCCTGAGTCATTACTTTTGGTCGCTACTGTATAAATTAAAAATATATTATTAATAAAACTATATTTTTATTAGTAATTTATTATATATATATATATATTTATTTTTTATAAAAACTTGAAAGTATCTAGAATAAACATGAAAAGTAATATTTTATCATAAAAATTATGTCAAAACTTAGTATTTATATTAATAATTTACAAAAAAAATAAAACCTGTAAAATAATAATTTATATTTAAAATACCATAAAATTTTTATTATATTAACATTATAAACAAGTTTAATATCATATAAAAGATTGTTATATTAATAAAAAATTTAAAAAATTAACTTTACATAGTAAAATATTCAAAAATTATAATTAATAAATAATTAATGAGTATTCTCATACTTTTTATCAATCACTATATTTTTAAAAAATGTTAATTCTAATAAAATGAATCTAAGGAATCTTTTTATTATGATACTTTTTTTGGTTTATATGTTCAAAAAAAAGTTAGAGCATATTCTTTCCATTTTTGATAAAAACGGAAAAAAGAACTTTAGCGGATTATAGAAGAACTGTACATGTAAGATGTTATTTTTGCGTTCATTGGATTACATTTAAGTGATATCTTAATTTCCTTTCCAATCAATTTTTCGTAGTTGGAATTAATATATTTGCGAAACTCACCATCTCTTTCATTCATAATTCATTGCAATTGAGCATTCTATTCGTATGTTGCGCAGTCAGAATCTATTTTTGAAAAACTTGATATGCAACTTGCTTTCACTTTAGAATGTTCATTTAGTTTATAAATTCTTGGTAATAATTTCAACACAACTTCAATCTCTAATTCGTTTAAATATATTTTCTTCATGATCCATTTGTAAACAAAGTTGCTTTATAAATTGTCCCTTTGCAATGATGGTAAATCTTTTAAAAGGAATCCATTCGCAAATCTTATAATAATTTGTTACGTTCTTTATCAGATCGATATACCTCCGCTAGACAATTCATCGTTATAAATTAAGATATTTGAAACAGTCAACACGCAGCATTCATTTTTGACATACTGCAAATAAACTAGTCACAGGAATAATCGAGAAATTAATGTTAAAAAGAGATATATTTTACCTTCGGTCATTGCAGAATTTCACACCACATAATCCTATTTTTTCAAAATATCCTTAAGGGGTAGACCAATCAAATCGCAAGGTATGAAATATTAATTGAGATTAAGGGAATATCAACTAAATTTCGCAAGGAACATTTTTTTGTTAGAACACAGAAAGTAGTTTCACGAGCTAAATCTCGAAATACAAGTTTGTTTTGAATTTTTTGTTACACATTTGATTGTTTACCCTAAAAAAAATTTTTTCTTCGACATGGCTAGGGTACTTTGGATCGGCTTAATAATCAGAAACACATGTAAAATCAAACATGCCTATTCGCAAACCGACTGCGAATTAAGACTGGTCGTTATCAATGTAAGAAAGGGCAGGAGCCGAACGGCATGAAAAGAAGTTTTTCGAAGTATAATTTTTTAAATGTGTGTTAAATATTTTATTAATATGTACATAATTTTTTATTACATAATACAGTATTCCGTTTACATGTACAATGAAAGTGTAACGCAGAAAATTCAAAACAAATTCTCATTATAAAAATTTTACTCATGTGATTTTGCTTTTATTTTTGTTTCTAAAGCATAATGAAAAAAACCTTTACGAAATTTTTTGCTTAATGTCGGATAATCACATGAGCGGAATATCAATCCTATGCCCTGTCAAAAATGATACACCATTGATAATTCTATTTATTTTTATCCTTATTTATTTTTAAATAGCACATGATTAATGTATCATCTTTCACACTTTTGATTTATATGTTACTTATAAAAGGCGTATTCTCATCTATCTTAACTACTTATAAAGGCGTACGCAAAAAATTTCTGTTCATCTTATTTTCTTTCGTCTCGCTTTCCTCGCTTACTCTTTGCTCTTATATTTCTTGGTCTCTCCTTTTCTCGCATCGTGACATGCCATTTACGTTGTTTATACCTTCTATTCTATCATAACATATCCTTTTAAGTTTTTGGATTCAACAACTTTGGCTGTGAACAAATTTTCCTACTGAAACCCTCATGTGTTTGGTAGATGGATGGTTACCAAAAAGCTGAAAAACATGACCTGTGTAGGTTTCGGAAGTGGCGGTTACCGGAGATTCAGAAGAAACGCGCCTTCTGTGTGTGTCTCTAGGATTATGGTCAATACGAGCACCTTTACGTATCAGGATTAACTTGGTTTATCCTCCAGTAAAGGCTGTGTCCAGACTCGTTGCTCAGATTTATAAATGTAGCTACTTGTGAATTTTTCAACAAAGTAACTTTACTTTTTTTTTGCTTATGTATGATACATCCAGTCTCCTTCATACAGGACATTGCAAGGTAAGTAATTTTGGTGACAAGCAATATATCGAGATCATAAAGTGAGCTTGTAATTTTGTTTTGTGCAACTTGCAAATGTAATAAAAGTTGCAAATCAGTCATATCGATATAATTTCTAACTCTTAGATGTTTCGGAATAATATACAGTATGTAGATCTTCATAACACCATACCTAATTCCTCAAGTCTTCCTGATCTTTGCGAGTGTTTGTTCATATCGTTTTCCCTGTTCTTCTATATTATGCATAGATCCAAGTCCTCGAGGATGTTTGCGTGTTTTCAAGAAGTCTTGTTTGGACGTAGGATAAAAAACTTGCGACAGAGATTTTCGTGTTTATAAGCAATATCGTTTGTTATGCTCTTACGTGTTCATTTGAGGGCTCAACATAAAATGAAAGACGAATTCTAAGTTATTTGTGTAGATTCTTGCCATTTTTTCCGTTTCATCGTACTCACTATATCCCTTTAAACATCACAAAAATGTTGCTCAAACCCGTATCTTAATTGATGTATCATTTGAGATAATACAAATTTCTACTGTAAAGAATTACAATGTATATTAATCGGCTTTTTTATACATAGCATTTGTGTGCGATAACTAAGGTTCGCATGTAAAAACATGCAAATAGGAACAATATTAGGGTGCATAACAAAAAACCTTAAAGTGAACACGTTTTCTTTCTTGCCATACATGACTTTATCACATCACACAAAAACATGTGTGTGATGGACATATATATATCTGAATATATAAATAGAGAATAATTATGTAATATAGTCATTTCCTAACGCCATACAGTCACAGGTTTTCCCGACCAAATGGAAATTCACTTTATAATTTGAACATCACCAAACCCATCGATGATTATATATAGACTAACTATATTTTAATTAAAGGTTGGCCCAAACATGTTGTCTAAATATCAACATAATTAAATTACTAATAAATTTTTGTCCAAACTGTCCAAAATTGTCCAAGGGCCAACCCTGAAAAAGTTTAACATAAATAATGCTAAAGCTATTTATTTATTATTTCCCGATTATAATATTTTAAATTTAATAATTTTTGATTTTAGCTTTTAAATCACAAAAAATTATTTAATTAAATCGGGCATCACTAAACATGACATCCATATCGATATGTCATGAACCCTCATTTCTGGTTTAAAAGGTCACATGACTTTTTCGTCCAATAAATAATGGTGTTATACTTATACCCCTGTCCTAAATTGGGAAACAACAAAATTGATTTGGATATGTGAGATATTTCAGAATGTATAAACAATGATTACATAATCTATATATATGCAATTCATGTACAATGATAACGATAATGGGTAATGGTAGGGTAATGGATAGGTAATGGATGTATGCCCTCTCTACAATCACACAGTGGATCAATGGAAAAAATCATCGTTAGATCATACACAAATCAAATCATCTTTTTATTAGAAACTTGTGATAAGCTTCTTTTCAATTTTATGCAGAGAACAAGCATTATACGTATAAGAGTTTAAACAGTAAAGCAGCTTGATAAAACAGGTTTGCTTTGTTTCAACATACTATACATGTACTATTCAGACTTTGAACTAATATTTATCTAAGCATATGGTTTTATTAATATTTAATTGAATCTCTTGCGATATACATAACTATTATGACATCTAAACTGCGCTGCGTTATCAAATTATGTAGTACATGTACAGTATTGCATATTTCTTGGACATTTTGAAATTTGCTCACAACTACATGTATTTGCCAAAAATACACAAACAGATATAAAAGGACATAATTTTAATAACCGAGATTTTACATTGAGCATTGTACATTGTTAATGTAATGATTCTGTTCAACGTGATTTAATGATTTAAAAAAATAATCATTATCTTTACATTAGCAATATACAATGTTTCAATGTAAAAATATCATCTCAGTCATCGTTATTAAAATTTAACATGTATAATTATCCTCTATACAATCACACATAATATAGGATATATATAGCCAAATTTTATATATAGCGAATTTTTAATATATTATAAAAAGTTTTTTTATTTATTTCAAATGCATGCAACACCCACTTACATTCTAAATCAAAATTGGTAAAGATCGACCAAAGCATATAACCATGAAATCGTCGTCGATTTATTAATACGCGACGACGTTTCCCTTTTTTTCACTTTTATTCTCGTTATTGCAAAGCCAAATTATAATAAACTTTTGTTCAAAATCAGCCTATATAAATCGATATTGAACATGAATCATCCTACCTCTTCATATCCTATTGATGATGATCTTGTGAACAAAGCAGTTAACCTTGCGCTTGCTAAATCCAAACAACCAACAAAAACTGTTAATGGCTATCTTCTTTATAGAATGAATTATTTTAAAAATAATCCAGGTAAAAGTATGAAGTCTCTCTCACCAATTATTGATACTGCATGGAAGAACGAATCACCTCAGATTCGACAACTTTATCTTGATACGGCTAAAAAAGTTTATCAGAAATATAAAAGTATAAATCAATCGCGACAACAATCTCCGCTGCCACAAATATTGCCGTTGTCTCGAGTGGTGTCATCCCAACTGTCGTTGTCGCAAGCATTATCATTACAACAATCGCAAGTGTTGTCGTTGCAATCGTCACATTCACAATCAGAAAAAAGAATTTTTCCCTTTTCTGAGCAACAATTACAGCAAATGTCGCTACCGTTACAATCGCCATATTCACAGTCAAAAGAAGGATATTTTTTCTATCCTGAACAGCAATTACAACAGTCTTCTTCGCAAACGTCGCCGCCATTACAATCATCACATTCACAACCAGAAGCGGGAAGTTTTCCCTTTGCTGAACAACAATTACAACAGTCCCCTTCACAAACGTTGCCGCCGTTACAATACTCACATCCGCAATTAGAAGCAGAAGATTTTTCCTTTCCTGAACAATTACAGCAGTCCACTCCACTAATGTCGCCGCCATTACAATCATCATATTCACAGCCAGAAGCAGGAAGTTTTCCCTTTGCTGAACAACAATTACAACAGTCCCCTTCGCAAACGTTGCCGCCGTTACAATCCTCACATCCACAGTTAGAAGCAGAAGATTTTTCCTTTCCTGAACAATTACAGCAGTCCACTCCACTAACGTCGCCGCCATTACAATCATCATATTCACAACCAGAAACAAATATACCTAGTATTATAAACCAAGAGGCATGTGAATATATAATTAATGCATATAAAAATAACACCAACTGCGACTCTATAATTTTAGAATTTCATCGCCAGATTCAAGAAGCTTCTCGTTTCTTGGAGTCTTATCGTGGTTTGCCGAGTCAAAATATCTAAGATATGCTAGATTCTTTTCTTGAGTCGTATCGGAAGGATGCATCAAAGAGTGAGTGGTATATATCCCGGAGCATCAGAAATTTAGAAAAATTATTTTATTTATTTTATTTTTGATATATATTTATCAATTTTGTATAAAAATAAAGTGTCGTGGCAAAAAAATATATATATTTATTAAACATATGTTATATCTTTTCTTAAGACAAAAATAAAAATTTTAATATTAAAAGAAAATTTCAACTATTACGACCTCAAATTGTTATATATATATATATATCAGACGGACCCTGTGGATATAATTCTCCGCGAACTTTAAATACATGTTTGTGGCTTGTAGTATCATATTGTTTCCGGTTTTGAAGGAAGTATTTCTGTAACTTGATCATAACGATAAACCAAAATAGACATAAAACTTGTTATTTGTGTTTACCGACGTTGACTTTGAAAAAAAAGGATTCTTTGTCCTTTAAGGAATTGCTAATATTCTATATTCGCGGGTTCCTTATGCACCACTAAATTTTCTTTGGATTCTATCATGTTATCACATGAAATGAATGGTATTCAATCTCGATTTCGAGAAATGGATCGGACAATGACTTCACGTAGATTCTAGAAGGAAGGCATCGCCGTGATTCAAAAATTTATTTGGTGTAGTCGACCGAATATTGGACAAGTTGATTATTTCCCACTGGAATGCCTTGTCAACTCTTAGCACAAGAGTTGACACTCAATACACGGCTATTATTTTTCAAAATCGATTACGAAGCGAAGCAACGAGAAGCCATTCGATTTTTATTGTTTGACGTTTGTATTAAGAATAAATACAATACATTAAATTTTTAGAAAAACGTCTAGGGCAATAATGAATGGAAGTATTTTATAATACGATGTACTTATACAAATGATTATATGAAAATTAAGCATCAAAGCACACTAGAACCGGATGCAAATTGCCGAATCGACTAATAATATCGTTAATATTCGTGAAGCGTGATAACTTTTCTTGGTGTTTCAGCTGTATTAATATTCTCTAGTTATTAATTTACTTTCTGAAATATTGGAAATGCACGATTACTTTTTAATTTAGACCATTAACGCTTTTTTATTTCTATTTGATTATGTTGACCAGAATCCAAATGTGGAAAAAATGAACATTCTTAGGCTGTAATTCACGAATTTACATATATTGCCTCTTAATGCTGTTAGATTTTAAGGCATTCTGGTTTTTTAGCAATGCGAATTACTAAGTTTATTCTTTTGAATAATCGGAGCAACACCTATGCCGATAAGATTAATATTTTGATAGCAATCAGAAATTATGACATCTCTGGATTAGGATCATGCCCCGATAAACAGATTTTGCATAGCGGATTTAAAAGTTCTTGTGGTGTAGAATTGTTGTAAAAGGATTTACCTATAAAGCAAAGAACGTGATAACTGCTTGTGAATGAGCTAAATACAAAAATTTAAAATAAATTTTTAGTTTAACCTCTATTTATTACTAGCTTGTTATAAAGGTTTCTGAACAAAGTAGTTGTTATATAAATTAGCGAAATTTTTCAGACATCTGACATTCATAAATTATGCTATTATTTTCAATATTTCTTTAATATAATATTTTAAATGACTAATCGATTCTGCAGTTATTCACTAATGTTATCAAATTATCCATTCTACTTTGTTTTTTAGAATTGTCACTGAGAACCCAAGATGTCAACCGTAATTCACGGTATTATCAGACCACTGCCCGAACGTGATTCATATTGCACATAATAAAAAATGCAAGCGGTAAACAGAAACATCGTCATGTTTAGGTGTAATTATGCTCGTTGGGCTGCTATTTACATGTGTTGCTCTTCGCACGCGAAATTATTACCAAGAAAAGTATCACTGAAAACATTACACGTAGTACGTTCGCTTTGACGCAAGTAATGCAGAAAGCGACGAAAGAGTAATGTCGAAGTTGTGCGATTTCAAAATCGATTTCTACGTTCATGCAATTGACCGCACAGTTGCGGTAAACCGCATGTAACTATACAGCTCTTGACGTTAGCACTTCTTCACAAAACAGACGCTTAATCACAAATTTGTATATTTACAAGTGAACAAAATAATCTAATCAGCTGATACGATTTCTTCGATTTATTATGTGACCGTAAAAACAAAATCATAACATTTTATTTAAGAAACTGACTTTTAAACCAGATAAGTACACCATCTTCTCTTTCTCATTCTAAGAATTCATTAACCTGATTCATAATCTCTTCAATACTTCGTATGCTTCTTAACTGCATATTCAGCCGCTTTTTCTGTCAACCCGTGCCGATAAGCATCCATCCACCTAAACGATAACCTAGCAAAAGAACGAACTTTCTTCACAGAAATAGAGTCGAACGCTTCAACAATCGAGATTCTGAATTTTGGCAATGAGTACTCGCAATGAGAATGGGCATACTTCTTAGACATTCCCTAATACATTTCTATATAATTGAATTCAGGGTGAAACTTTGGATAAAATATGGTCTTGTGTTCACGAGATTCAATTTCTTGTTGAATTTGATCACGTTTTTCAAGAAAGTTCGGTTGATTAGCAATTAATCGACGTGCAGGACTTGCTTCTTCCTTTTTACACAATACGCACTCCCATCCCGCCACAATTCTCTTTCGGCAAGAACCTCTGGATTCCTTTAGGCTGTCCACGTAAATTAACACGTGACTTTTTTCTTGTTATAAACGAAAGTAATCTTCTTCAATGATCATTGATTGATGACTACCACTCCATGTTGTGTCTCGTATTTTTGGAACTGATCCTCTTGGTCCGAGAATGATTTTCGAAGCTACCAGGGCATCCTCAGCGAAAGCTGTGTGAGAAATGGCATTGTCGAAGGCAAAAATACCTACGCATTCTGAATGTGTCTGTTCAAAGCCCGTCTAACTTGTTCAAGGAGTTTTTTAGAATTCCAATATCCGTCTCAATATCATTATTATACGTGCCTCTTCTTGATCATCTTTAAGCGGCCCTATTGTTTTTGTTAAAAAGTCGCTTACATGTACACCGGTACCCAATCCTCTTTTTCGCAATGGTTGTTCTCCTTCTGAACCCCATACAGCATGTGGTCCATCATAAGTGTAAAAGGTAGATTCGTCATGAATTACCCACATGTGTTCTTTCTCACCATCATTGAAATGTGAAAAGATCCTAACCTTGCAGTCTTCGTCTAACCACCGGGACATGAATCGATCAAGTTTTGAAGAAATATTTGACGATATGCAACAATATCTTGCCGTTCATGTCCATTTACGTAGATCCCTTTTTTATAACGTTGATAACAAAATCCAAGTTTGTGCATCCATCGACGAGCGTTTCGGACTGAAATACGCTGCATAGATTGTCATCCAATTGGGGAAGAATATGTTGTTCAAAATAGCTCTTGAATGCCACAGGATCTGCCTTGAACACAGTTAAGTGACCAATCGGAGAGAAACCAGCTCGTCATGAAGTAGGCTTTTGGAAGGAAGTTTCCCACGAAGACTCAGCTTGATTATTTTCCCTTTCATACAGATATTTCTCCACGTTCTGCATCTCGCAAGCCATGACCCACCATTAACAATTTCAAAACTGTTTTCGAATCCTCCATCTTCTCTTCTCCATCTAGAAGTAATCGAAAAAAATAAAGAACTGACGTATCTTCTTCTGTTTTTGAGATTGACTCCTACCACATTATTTGTTCACAAACTCAATTGCTTTATGGATATTTTCTTCTTCCTCGTGATTCTATTTACTAACATCATTACCTTTATGACAAATATCGTTTTTCTTCTTCGAAACAAGCTCTCTTACCTTAACTCCTTGGTCTTGAGAGTCTTCAGCACTCTCGTCGTTATCACAGTACACAGCCACTTACATTAACGATGATGATAAAAATAAAAACCGATTAATCGGTATCCTGATCCGGTTATAAATCCGATATCGATAGCCGGTCCAATCTCATCAACGCAAAAAGAATTTACATGTACATGTAATCCTAACAATAATGCGGAAGCCATTGCTAGACACATTAATCTTTTCTTTGTATATAGATTTGTATTAATGCTAGCCGAAATCAACCTGAAAATACTTTAGAGTAACTATTCTCAGAAATAAAATTGACAAAAGGTTAATATATTTACTTAAGTCTCAAACACTTGTTCTCTATGAGCAATCTTCTTATATTTTTCGAAAACAATTAAAATTGCTTTTTCTTTAAGTGTTGATTTTATTTTATTATAAATTTCGTCGTCATCGTCATGAGAAAGATAAAGGGTCTGAAAAAAACAGTATATATACATGTATGTATCACATATATACGAGGTACTCGGCACACTAGAAGAGTGTGCAATAATTAATCAGTTTTGGATCACTAGTGTAACTCCGGGAAGAAAGTTCGATTTTCCCGAATTTACATTCTTGGTTTTCATTTGTCTACGATGCTAAAAGTCGAATTGGAATATTTATCATCGCTATCCAATCAATCATTTGTGATGTTACGATGTTTTGTGATTCATTCATAAAATAAAGTTTGAAAACAACTGCCCATCGAGAAAGAAAAAATTAATTGGACAGATTAAGTTCGAAAATGCTGAAATTTTTATCAAGATTACAAATAACAAGTATAAAATTAACACTAAATAATGGCACGCTTACATAGGCGAGTTTCATTGACTTAACACGAAATATGTTCGTAAAAATTATGTTAAGTGCAAATTTCATATCCTTCTGTCTAAAGGACAGTAAAACAACAAAGAATCACTAACACACATTATATAATGCACGAATTGGGAACAAAGGAAATATTTTCTGAAACCAATGGCGCATTTATTTACGCGTCTGTTTCTTTGTTGTTGAAATAACTTATGCTTTATTATAGTTCTCTTTATTATGTGTGAGGGCAGTATTAGATGTCCTTGGTTTAGGTAGTACAAAATTAAACCATTTTGTATAACCATCACATGATTATTTTTTAGAAACTATTACATGTAGTGAATATTCTCTATGTTGAAGATTTTTCACTTACATCGTTATTATCAATATAACGATAACGATATCGAGTGCCGGGAAAATAAAAAAGATAAATGATTTATTTCTAATAATGTTCATATGATTTAAAGTTGCTCCACTAGCACACACCCACACACACAAATTTGATAAAAACAAGATGCGTGCATTTGTATTGTGATTTTGAATTGTGACAATATTCATTTATATCTGTTTAAGATGCAACCTCACTGTGGAGAGACGTCTATCATTTAAGCATCATGACAACAGCTGCTGCTTAATGCTTTTCGTGAACCGCGTATAATTGATGAGAATTTTCCCCATTTCGTTTAGACAATTTGTCAAAGAGAATTAATTGGCTTATTCTCTTAGCATTCCGCAATACAACTAAAAGGGGGATATGTATATCGATATCAAATAAAAGTAAAAAAAAAAATTGGAAGATCTTATTCAATAACGATAACGACATGTAATTAGTGTAAGTGCTCATGGATACCATAATGCACTGTATAGAATATCAAAATATATAATCCACTCCGGCGCTGCTCCGGAATGGATTATATGTTCTAATATAAACTGGAGCACTCCATTAACAACCCTAACTAATACGCGACATTTAACTCTCGTTTTTGCAAAAGCAAGTTATAATAAACTTGTGTTCAAACCCAGTCGATATTGAAATCTTTATAATCATGAGTCATCCTGTTTCTTTGTATCTTATTGTCAATGACCTTGTGAACGAAGCGGTTAGACTTGCGCTTAATAGATGCAAACAACCAACAAGAACTGCTAACGCCCATTTTCTTTGTAGCATGAATTATTATTAAAAATTACCCAGGTTATAGTGCAATTGATCTCTCACCAATTATTAAGCCTGCATGGAATAACGAATCACCTCAGACTCGATCTTAATATGGCTAGAGAAGCTTATCAGCAATATAAAAGCGTAGTAGACCAATCGCAACAGATAACTTCGCTATCGCAAAATATCGCTGCTATCTCATGTGTTGTCATCACAATCGTCGCCGTCGCAAATATTGTCATTACACCAATCGCAAATGTCGTTACCGTTACAATCGTCACAATCAGAACAAGAAATCTTCTCTCTGTCTCGAGCACTTTATTATCTCACGACATGGCTTGTAGCTCAGCAAATATACCTAAGATTATGTACCAAGAGACATATGGATACTTAATTAATGTGTATAACAATTGTGAATCTACAATTATAGAATATCTCCACAAATTCTTAATCGTCTTCTTATTTATAATGCTGTGGGCGAAATTAATACCCATCGTCAACCGTAAAATCCGGAATTAGGTGGTTCGTCTGATAAATTCAGGATATATAAAAAGTAGGGAATTATCGAGCAAATCAAAGCATTTATAAATAATTATTCGTATTTTACCGAGTCAATGCCCGGAAGGATTCGTCATAAGAAATGGATGGTGTGCGGAAAACATTCATAAATAAAAATTTCAGCATATCAATCTTTAATATCGAGTACCTATTAAACTAGCACACACAAAATTTTACCCAAAAGTGCGTTGAATTGAACTGTGCTCCATTTTATAGAGGAAAAATTTTAAAAAAATATTCGAAGTATCCAAGCTGGAATAATCAATAATAAATACATGTTTGTCCCAGTAAATAACAAATTAAAAATATGAATTTTATTTTATTTTATTTTTTTAATTTAATTTAATTTAATTTAATTTTAGTTCAATTAATTTAATTTAATTTAATTTAATTTAATTTAATTTAATTTATAAAGTGTTATGTTTATGGATCTCGATTTTGAGTTTTTAGATTGATTACGTAATATCGAACAACCAATAAAAATGCACAAACTCTGTAATTCATGATCTTTTTTCTTAAAACGTATTTATAAAATTCAAATACATGTACATATTCTAAATTTCTTATATACATGTATAAATTAGAAAGAAAACCTCCGACCACTCACTTTTGTTAGGTAATTTGAACATTTTATTTTTTCAATAAATCTATAAGACAATAACAAATAGGGTACTGTATATCGATATGCTATCTCTAAACTTTGGTTTGTGTGTGCTAGATTATAGATACTACATGTACTAAAATCAATTTTACACTATCCGGAGTATTTGACTCGGTTGACGATAGGTATTAATTTTTGCCTACAACATTATAAGTAAGAAGACGATTAAGATTTTCATAAGCCTGTTGAAGCTCGTGAAGATATTCTTTAATTGCGGATTTGCAGTCGGTATTATTGTTATATGCATTGACTACATATTTATATGTCTCTTGATTTATAATCCTAGGTATATTTGTTGAGCTACAAGCCATGTCGTGAGATAATAAAGTCTCCGAGACATTTGACAATTGAGGAAGTTGTCGCTGTTTAGGACAGAGATAATCTCCCGTTTCTGGTTGTAACGGCAGCGACATTTGCGGAGTAGACTGCTGGAATTGTTGCCCAGTAAAGAGAAAATATCCCGTCTCTGATGATAAATTTGACGATCGTAACGGCGGCGACATTTGCAGAGGGTGCTGCTGGCATTTTAGAAACTCTTCCGTTTCTGATTGTGAATGTGACGATTGTAACGATTGTTGTAATGACAATATTTGCAAAGGCGACAGTTGTGACGGCAACACTTGAGATAGCAGGGATATTTGCGATAGCGAAGGTTCCTGTTGCGATTTATTTACTATGCTTCTATATTGCTGATAAGCTTCTTTAGCCATATCAAGATAAAGTTGTCGAGTCTGAGGTGATTCGTTATTCCATGCCGTCGTAATGATTGGTGAAAGAACAGTCGCACTATAACCTGGATTATTTTTAATATAATTCATTCTATAAAGAAAATAAGCATTAGCAGTTCTTGTTGGTTGGTTGGGTTTACTAAGTGCAAGTCTAACTGCTTCGCTCACAAGGTCGACCACGGTATGATACGAAGAGACACGATTATTCATATGATCCATAATTATAGTACACTGAAACTTCGTTATAATAAAAGTTAAAAAAAAATTTCAAATATTAAATATCGATTTATATAAGAAAACAGGTTTATTATTGATTTGCCTTTGCTAAAAATACTTTCATAATAGCATTGTATAAATCTCATATCTAATGACCCTACCCTCTTTACAATCACACATGTGTGTACCCAATGAAATCAGATTATCTGTTACGAAAAATTTAAGTTCAAGTTTATCGTTATTAATTTGTAACGGTAACAACAAATTAAGCGAAGAAATTTGTGTAACAACAAATAAAAAAATAAAATATCCTAAAGTTTCCTAAAGTTTGAACAACAAATGAAGCACTTTTTGTGTATCATTGGGATCAAATACTTATGATTGTATTACTATCAAACTTTACAGCCTATACGAATTTTTCCACTTGAGAAATTTAAGAAACGATGTGAATTCAAAATTTGTCATCTTATATTGAATTACTAGATTATTATATTGATATTTGGAATTTTCATAGTATTTATATTCTGCATGCTATTGTTGAAATCCAGCAATATTATGAATTTGATTAAATATTTCCATATAAAACTTTAATAATAAGATGTAAATGTTTATCATTATCATTATACTTGGTATGATACAGGGCTAATGATTTTTTGTAATTCACAGAATATCACAGAATTCACAAAATTCTGTGATAAATACATAATTCATTTTCAATCATTACAGAATAGCACAGAATTCTTATTTGTTACAATTTTTCACAGAATATTAGTACTACATAAATTAAAATAAATAAATATGTATTATAATCATTTTTAATATCTTTAGCAAGTGGTTTTATGAATATTAATAATTAATGATAATAAAACAAAAAAAAGAAAAACTTATAGTACAATTAAGAGCTAATAAATATCCAGATCTTTTTCAAGTTAATAATGGTATTATGTTTTGTATTTCCTGTAATGAATCAATTAATTGAAAGACTAAATCAACAATAGATGAACATCTTAATAGCAAAAAACATAATATAAATAAAGCTAAACATGAAATTAATGAACAAAATTTATGACAAATTACAATTATAACTATACTTACAACTGCTAATTCTAAAAAATAAGTTATTGAAGATTTGATTGAAGCATTTTCTATTGCAAATATTCCTCTTGAAAAAATAAATCACTTGCTCCCTTTTTTTCAAAAATATTTAAAAGAAGGTGGTGCAATTCCAAAAGCATCTACTTTACGTCAAATTTATTTACCTCATGTTTTTGAAAAATATCAACAAAATTTATGTA